TATACGATATATATATACGATTATATATATATACGATATATATATAAATCTCATTTGCAAATCATACTAATATACTTACTTCCTTTACGTCCGCATATACCGTACCACGTCTTCTCGTTCCTTCTACATAAAACTGTATTTTCATATATTTAATACCCTGCTTAATGTAGTACATGTGACTGAAAGAAACATACATAGAAACATTATTTATATATTCTAAAAAATAGTTCAAGTATTTTTTATTGTAATATTTTTTATTTATACGCAACAGAACTCACATATACAAAAGTTATTAATAAATTTCATATAAATTTCAAATAAATATATTACTTCAATATACCTAATGTGTCTCCTGCGGCCACGTCGAGTTTCATCTCCATAAGCCTTTACAGGTGCTCCAAGAATATCCATAACTTTTGGATGTTCAATACAACGGAGTCGTGCTTGACTATAGACAGCATATGGACTTTTGCTAGAAAATAGTTCGGAAAATAATGCATAAAATATCAAAGCTGTGATTCCAATGCCACCTATAATCACCCCTAAGTACCCAGCAGATTTCAAGTTTTCTTTAACTGTAAAAAAAAAAAAAGAAATAAATTATTGTATATATAGTAATATGCAATATAGGTGATGTGAAATTTACCTACTTCTGCAGTGCCAATCTGTATTTTATTGTTAGTTTCATTGGAATCAACTTTTGTTATAGATTTCTTTGTTGAATACCAAGCATTGTGTCTAAAGACAATGCTATGGCAATAAAATGTATTTGACATGACCAAGTGTCTTCTCTGAAAAATATGATTTAATACTCTTGTTGAAGCCATATCCTAAAACAAAAATAATTAATGATATAAATCTATATATTGATTAATGATATTAATAAAATATTAAATACACTTTTACTTTGCAAAGTTTATATAAAACTTTACAAGAAAGTAATGTTGAAATTCAGTTTTTTTCATAAATAGAAAAGAAAACAAGTCAAAATATACAGAATATGTTGTAACAAAGTAACTTACGCAGTAGTACACAAGTTTTTCTAGCAAAAATTCTACTAAAAATAAATTCTTGAAATAAAGTAGCTGTATTGCACAAGAATCATCTACTTATAAAGACCTTTGTATTATGACCTATTGAAAAAAATACTTTTGTATACTGTGTAAAGATAACAAAAAACCTATCATTACATCTAATCAGCCGGTGCCAGAGCCGGTACAAAACAAAGATAATCCATCTAGTGGTGATTGAATGAAACATATTTTGGGGATCTTCAGAATTTTCAATTTTATTAACCAATTAGAATTTTGGACAAATTCTGAAACTTGAAATACCGGCTTAAGGTTTGATCATTGTGCCCTCTAGAAATAGCGAAACACATTGCAGAAGTTATCTCGAGCATCAACAAAATATTATCTTAATACAGTAGGAACACGAATTCAGAGACTAATAAGATTGAAATTTAAACCACCTGCTTAAAATTATTAATGAGGTCTGCACCACATCAAAGATTAGTCATGGTTGGCGATCGTGATGGGTAAATATAATTAAAAATTTGCACTGGTTAAGATTGGTTAGCTTTATCTTTCACAAAAATAAATCATTCTGGCTCTATAAATTTTATTTTATGTATTAAAATTAGTACCTTGAGGTATTAAAATTAGTCTTAAAGTTAGAACCTTGAAATAAAGGAGAAATCCTCAAATATAATCTAGAAAATACAATATTTAATAGAAAATTAGTTGTCTAACAATTACCGTAATAATTTATCTTTAAAATTTATTCATACTAGGTTGAAAGAATTACTGAGACGTAGATTAGTGGAGTGTGGCTGGCGAGATCAAGTAAAGCTGATCTCAAAGGAACTGATAAAGGAACATGGTCACGATATCACTTATGATGCATTGCTATCCACAGTAACAACCAGAGCTCGTACACTTGTGCCGGATTCAGTAAAGAAGGAACTGTTACAAAAAATCAAGAATCAGCTAATGGCTCAAGAGGAAAAATTGAAGATTGTAACAGATCGTTAAGAAATTCACACATATTATTGTTAAACTTTGACAATTTTTTATCATTACAATTCATGACATAATTGTGAAAGTTATGATAAAACTTTTCAGAAATATTACATATTCCTTAATGACTTAGTGTGACACTTGACGTAATTGTTGCACTAAAGCACATTTACATATAAAAATAACTGTTTACAAAAGCAAAATGTGATATGTATTTAATGACTAATTGGGCTATATTTTTAAGAAATATATATAATACGAATGTAATGTTATTTTATTTTATATCCAAACAAATTAAAATTGCATTATTGCAGCTAGTAATAATTTAGTTGCACGTGTAATTCTAAAAAATGTTATTGCGCGCGTGCGCGTTCATACACACATACACAGTCTTATTCATTAGTAACGTTCTTCACCAGCAGATAGCAACACATGCGTCAATTCCAAATTGAGTAGAATTGGGTTAGGATATTCATACAATAATACTTTGTCGTTTGGTTGATTTTTGATCCATTAGAATTTTTCAGTGTTGAAAAATTTTAGCCAGTGATAGTATTGTGATAATTTACTGTAACCGTTAATAGCTAAAAGATGTTGATAAAAGTGAAGGTAATTATGCTGATTTGACAGACCCGGTTTATCGAAGTTTGTACCGGTTTATTGTAATAATAATTTTAATTTTGTTTCAGACTCTCACAGGAAAAGAGGCAAGTATCTCGAAATCAAACAGTTTCATAAACCAAGATGACGCAGTTGCTGCATGATCAAGATTAAAAATTATGATAATCTTTATCGCAAAGACTAACTTTATTTTGTTGTGTTGGTCGAAGAAAAATAATTCTAATATTTGAGTTTATATCAAAATTTATATTTTAATTATATATATATCTCAAAAATTTATAATAGCTTAGAATATTTTATTTTGGAAGTTGATAAAGCTTACAGTTAAAAAAATAGGACTTGCAAAAAATATACATTGCTAACATTCATCATGATTGATTATATCATTCTTTTAGATTGAAATAGATATAGAACCCACGGACAAGGTAGAGAGGATTAAAGAAAGAGTGGAGGAAAAAGAAGGAATACCACCACAGCAACAGCGATTAATATTTTCTGGCAAACAGATGTACGTATAAGTATTTTAATGAATTCGATTTATTGCAAGTACAAACGTGTTTTTCTAAGTGAATCAAATACAAACGTCAATATAATTATAACGGGCTGATTTTATTACATATTTGCTTGTATATGAAACTCCTTAAAGCATGGTGTTACGCATAGTCCAACATTACAAGTAACGCAATAATAACGCGATTCCCTTCTCAAGCCTTTCAATGAACATACCTTGCATTTCCTCGTGGCATTGATCTTCTTAGCGGTTGGAGGTGCATACTCGGGGAAGTGATGATCTATCCTTAAGAGATTATTGGATAGTATGCTTGATTCATCTGTTTTGTTTCACGTTCCTTTAGGTTCTACGCTTAGAAAAGATATTAGAAATAAAAATAAATATTAAATATTAGGAAGAGCAATTTGGAAGAGAATTATTTTACTTCAAACAAGGGAACAGAATGGATTAATTATTTTTAATTCTTATTTTCTAATTCATGATACGTTAATCCATTTCATTTTCTTGTTTTGAAATGAAATAATATCAATTTCCTACTTCTAATATTTAATATTTATTCTTATTCCTAATATTTTCTCTATTGTGCGTGGGGCCTTAATTACGACAATATTTGTGTTATTCTTAATATAACAGAAATAGATTTTTAACAAATAATACATATAAATGTAAAAAAGTCTTACGCTTTGCTTTGAAGAAACTTCTTTAAACTAAATGTAAGCTAGAAATAAGTAGTGCATTAAAAAAATTATTTACATTATTGAAATACGATCAATCTATAACAAATATGTTAAAAAATCAATGAGGATTGTATTTTTTTCTATCAGGAACGATGAGAAGACGGCGCAAGATTACAAGGTCCAAGGAGGTTCAGTACTGCATTTGGTACTTGCATTAAGAGGAGGTTGTGCATACAACATGCCTCGTCTATAAATTAGGGAGGATATGAAAGACTTATGAAACTAACAGGAGAGAAAAACGAAAAAGCAGCATGTTTATGATCGGTATATGCGCATTTATTCACGCAAAAAGAGCAAAATCTATGTTATTCTGTAAAGAGTAACGTAGAGTGGCTACGTGACACATTTATAATCTAAATAAATATTTAATAAAATAATTTAGTCATTAATAACAGCTGTGTTTCTAATTTAAATTTTTTCTTATGTGAGCCGCTTGGGTTCTTATCAGAATCTAAACAGATTAACTCCACTTTTTGCAACTTTGCACCAAAGCATAAGATTGGTACTTAACTTTTCATCAAAATAAATAAATAAAATAAATTGGATGGAGTCAGTTTGGCTTTTGAGCGGCTCATATAATGAAAATTAATACAATTTTTATATCATTTAACGTGGCCTATTTAATAGTAAATACGAGTTACATATATCTTTAGCAAATGTAATGTAAAAAAATTGGAAAAATGTCAAGTTAAAGTAAATAATGTTTCTCATTAAATTCAAAATCTTATAATAATTTTACACAAAATAATTCTGATCGGTAAAAGATGTGCAAGACCCAACCCGAATTATGTAGCACTAATAAATGTGTATTAATATATTAATTACTAACGTTAGCAAATTATTTTTTCCTATCTTGTATCAAAACTATTATTATTTGAAAGTTAATTATCAATATTTTAAACTAGAGGAATTATTTGTGAGAAAATTGACTTAAGATATGTTGGAGATTCTGTTGTCAACTAGGATAACAAGTTTTATAGATAAAAATAAGGCAAAAAAAGCACTTTATTTGCTACAGCATGCGGAAGGAGTATCTTGCGAGATTATATCATGTTACACACAACCGTATTTTTCATATCATAAAAATCAGGAACTCTCCGATCAGTTTCTGTGGTATCTACTGTTATGCGTCGCCCGACTCCATTTCGTCTTGAACACACGCTGGCAGATGTTGCAATAGGCCGCCGAATTAGACGAGTCCTCGTGCTTGGACGTGATGTGCCGCAGAAGAGCGTGTTGCGTCGTAAACGAAACACCGCACTTTTCGCAGTACGACATCGGCGCATGGACGCTTCTACCCAGAACTGGCGTCTTCAATGATTCTATAAATGCATTCCTCGATTTATCTAAGTGCTCTATACGTACAAATTGTCCTGACATTATCAATAGGTAATTCAACCTCTTCAAAACACGTGTATAGTCGAACGAGTAATAATTCTGTTTATATTGTGAACTAAGATTTAAATAGCAAAAAACGCGAATGAATAGCAAAACCTTGTTCCTTCATTAAGTTCAAGTGGACTTTTAGTTGAGGAAAACTGTAGATAAAATATCATAAATTAATGCAAAAAATAAGAAACTTATTTCTTCACTAAATAAATTATAGGATCTCAGGAAAGAATGAGTGTACATGTTGATATTAATTTATTTCTTTCAGCATACAACAACGTTACGAATAATATTGATTTATAATTAATATTGTTGATTTTTTTCAAATTATCGTATTTCATCGTTTGATCCATTCCAGGACTTCAAGGAAGTGAGGAATAATTGGAGTTTTAAACAATTAAAATGTACAGACTGACTAAAAAATATGAGGGAGACGTTTTAAAGTATTAAAGGAACTTTGTAGATCTAGGAATAATTAATCTTAACTTATTGGGAATTAAACATAATGCAACACTAATTATGATGTACGAATTTCGTACTACGAAGTTTCGATGTACGAGAGAGTGTTTCTCCATCAGAAATTCTTTTATTTACATTACTGCGATAACATTTGAAAGCGTAGTCTTACACGATCTTTTAATTAAGTTATAAGCTCACAATTATGATACCGAACGTAACACATACCCGAATAGAGAACGCAATATTTCGTGCTATCGACACAGTGTCTCACGATATCTACAGTTAATTTCTAAACTCGCTGCGACTACACACATCCGCTGTCTTCTTCCTGCGAAAAATTCATCCTTCCGGATTGAGACGGATAACTTTTGTTGATCTGTTATTCTGAAACTTTTCGAGGTCCTCGTTTCAACGGTGGATTCCTTCAAAGATGGACTTCGAAATAGTAATTCTCATGCCTCGAAGAGTTAAACAGCTTTCTTTAAGACAGCTTCTTCGTTCTTGTATCGCAACATACAGAATGGAGAATGAAATTCTACCAATAAACTTCCAGGATTGGTAAGAAAGATTAAGAAATCGAGAGTTTCTATAAAATATTGTACACAAAGTGCAAAATTTGTTTTAGGCCGAAATTTCAGAATAAGAAACGAAATCAAACAAATCAATCTTTGTAATGCAAAATTAATAATATTAATTTTCTTCTCTAATTTTTCTCCAATATTTCTGTTGTTTCTAGAAACTTCTAGAAATTTATGGGAAGAATTTTCCACCATGCTATATAATAAATGTATCCATATCTGTATTCCTTATCAGTACTAAATTCTGTAGATTGTTACATCTCTTTTACTAAGATATACTAATTACCTGAATCTTTGCATCAAAACTTTAACTCTGAACACGCCTATGTAGGCAGAATTATGTTTCGAGTTTTCCTTGTAAGATCGAAGACTTCTTCGTTCGTGTTTCTACTGCAGTTCGCACAAATTATACTTTACGTTTTCCATTCCAACTATTTTATACCTCAATCGATTAAATTTTATTTTTACCTCCGTTTATCTTTGCACGCTTCGTCCAACCAAAAATTATGATGAGGTCTTTGCTGACCAAGCTTTTCTATCGCGCGAGATTCATACGTCTTGATTCTTTATATATTTTATACTTTTTTGGTGCGTAAACCTGTACAATTTTTTTTTTTTTCAATCTCGCGATACGCGATCACGATTTATTATACCTCTGTCACAGGAATACTTAAACTTTGTTGCACAATTCTCAAGTTGACTAGAAAATAATATCTAAAATTTATATTTTAATCTTTTATTTATTATCTAATATTTATTTTAATGCTATAAAGACAACATTATTTTGTAACGAAAAAAAAATAGAGTATTGTCTTTTGCACATAAAAAATTAATATTTTAATACATAAATGACTTCATGAATACTTAAAAAATCCATTAAGTATGTCTTCGAGATTTAATATTTCGCAAAGCTTGAGAATTCCTGATACAGTTTCTGTGCGACAGCCATATCGTACGGCCATAAGTAGTTGAACGCTTTCACAGCGGCATCATAAATTCATTAAGTGTCAATCATCATTATTGGTGATTCTATGTTCGTTTAGTTTAGAGCGTTAAAAACGTAATTAACTGCACCTCGCAACGCGATCCTCTAAACGGCAATTCACGAATTCAATGAGGCATTCGTTCTAGACGCGGTGACGCGGATTCTCGTGCTACGATCAACAACTATGATTACGATCACTTAATAACTACGAGTAAATAGTCAGGTGCGCAAGTGCGATGTCACTCTCGAAAACGAAACGAAATGCGGACGCACGCACATGTACGTCATATACTCGATTATTGTACTACTTGTTGCATAATACTCTTGTATGCCCTCGATAAAATAAAGTATCCCCGCTTGCGAAATCGCTCCTGTATGTATGTAGTTTACTTATTTAATAACAACAACAACGGTAACAGCGACGTTTCATATTCAGATCTGTCTTCGGATAGTTTACGGACGGTCGAAATCAGCGCTTCCCTAACGATAAATTATACATTAATCTTTCGGATTAAACTATTGGCATTAAATAAATGTAAATCACTTAAAAGTAACTTGAGAAATAAATATTTAACAATCCTTATAACATTTGCAATGTTTCCGTAAGATCGTATACTTATAACACATTTAGAATTTATCACTTTGATTTCGGAAAAAATTCTTACACTAAATAAGCTATAATATATTCATACTCGTAATAAGAGCTAAAAAAAAAATAAACTAAATTACAAGCAGCTTGGCTTCTTTCTTAAAGTAAACGAAAAATCTGAAATAATTGTGATTTCTTTTTTGTGCTGAGAAACGCTGCTTTCGCGTTTTTATACAGAGACAATGTTTACACGAGGCCGGTAACAGAATTAACAACTACTTTTCGGATGCTCTGCATCGCTAGATATATCCTTGTCTATGGTAAACATCTGCAGGAGTTAATGCGTAAAATGTAAAACCAGGTATTTGTGTGTAAGGCACTGTCTATGCGCTGTCTCGACAGCTGAAGCTGAAGCTCGATGTACACTTGAAAGTCTCACAGAGTTATCTATCTCGTTCTGTCAAAATCTTGTCTGCAATTTTTTCGATTACAGCGGAGGTAATTCGCGGTAAATTTCCACAAAAACAAAACAACAGTTGAACCATTCGGGAAGATAACTTACTAAGATGATGCAACGGCCAACTTTTTTCGGTGCACATCGAGCCCAAGAGAGTCGTTTGCAAAGAAACTTCGGCACGTGAGGTAAAAACGTGTAAACAGAGTCCGTGTAATGTGTCGGGGGTGTCGTGGCTGCGGAGAGAGGATTATACGACGTTTGCGGAGCGATGTCCCGCGAGGACATGGCGGCCGCGAGAGAAAGAACCCCCGGGTGCGTGTCGAGGAATATAAAAAAATAACTTCGATCCGCGTTATAGAGTCCTGTGCGAACGAGCGATAAAGATCTCGATAGTCTAATGTCCCATACAGTAATGACTAGAATCCTTCAAGACCGCCGATTTATATATCCGGAGGAGAGGCGACTCTACAGCTCTCTATATATAGACTTTACGCAGATATAACAAGGCTGTGCGCCTTGCGAAACGCGATATCTGCGCACGCGAGGATCTCACAAAGTCCTCCTTCAGAATATTTTTTTTTTTTTCGCCAACAAAAATCCTTACAAAGAGACACTGAATTTGCTGCGTGTATACACTTCGCGACATTTTGCGATTCTTCTGTTTTCTAAGGTCTCGCGTTTGCGAAGGAAGAAGCTGCAAATATAATATACGTATGTGTGATCCCAATCGAAAACCTTGTGCGATAGAGCCGCCTCCGTTCATCTGTGACGTATACAATATTCAGATCCTTAAACACGTATCACTGAATTTTCGCCTCTCAACACGCCTAAAGCGCGAGAAGTCGTGCGACCCGCTAATGTAACACAATCGCCAACTGCGCCAATGCACACTTAGCGGAAATACGCGCAAATACAGCAAAGCTAGACACATCAAT